CTCTGCTCTCCTCCCTCGTAACAAATAGTGAACTGTGTCAAATACAGATGAAGGATGAAAATACGATGAATCATAGATCTTTTTATGGGAACATTGGATCCCCGACGTGTTAGTCCTAAGAAATTTTCTACAGAAAACTGTTTGATGAATACGTCGTAACATGCTCGATCTAGTTACCATGATAATTTCGTAAAGAAAGGGTATGGTGATAAGAAAATACCTTTTGGATTGTAGTTTCACATCACTGTAGCGTCTCGTATTCATGTGTTTCTTTGATATGGAAGATGGTGATGACTCTATGAACTAGTTTAATCAATTCACATTGTAACAAAATCATATATGCATCTTGATTTAATCATAAATATGTATATTATGGTTTTCTCATAATTAGATTTTCACATGTTCAGCGCAATCCAACTCGAACTAACAGCAACACGATATACCGCTTCCGTTTGTTTCATGGATATGTCAACCAAAGTTATTGTCCATATTGCACGAAGTGTGATATCTCGCAAATTATTCAAAATTAAACTATCAATACTATTAATTTAATATGATCTGGTAGCAGTTTATTTCCATTTCGAATTAGCAGGTGCAAACAATGATCGGTACCGCTGGAAATTATATTTAAATACAATTTATTTTTTAAATCTTTAAATTGAAAATTGAAATAAGTGCTATGGCAAAGTTCCCTCAGTAATAACACATGGTATATAGGACCTTGTATGCTCGTGTCTTAATTAAAATGCATTATGGGCCGTTAATATATGTAAAATTTAACAATACAGAATAGTATGCGTAGCAGATGGCTATAATCATAATCATCCCTAGCCTATGGGTACAAAAGCTCATAAATAACTTAACAGCGCTGGAACAAAAACACTTTGATTCGTGTGCAGCGGACGTTTGATATACTACGCTATGTACATGTATAGGACAACAGAGATGAATATTGAACATCTACGTGACCGTTCCACAAAAATGCCCAATGAAAATGTTTTTGATAAATACTATGTTAATCTGGACGCGTCCTTAGTTTAAAAAACGTTTCTGTTACTATTTGGAGCAGGTGAAGCATACAAAGCTGTCTAAAGAGCGTTGAGGCATTTATTTTTGTTCCAAATAAATATACATTTACATTTAGCTTTTTGGGGGGTTTATGAAACGAAAGGTGTTAAATAATAACCATTGGGGTTGTGACCGCAGTATTGCTAGCTCAGCATTAACTGCAATAAGGTTGGTTTTCAGTGACCTCATCAGAAAGTAAGGAAATACGTAGCGTTGTGCTATCTTGATTTGGTTGTTAACACTAAATTCTGTGAATACATGTCACGTGTGTATGGCATCAGTATCTGTTTGCCCAAGTGTGTGAGTAAAAGCTTGGAGTAGCAGAACAAAACTTCTGATGTATACCTGTGCCGTTCCTCCAATGTTATGTTCATCAATGTACACTCATCTACGAATTTGCTATACGTTCGTGTATCATCGGTGTGAGCAGCAAAGCTGTACTTGTGTATCTACAGTAACCACCAACGACTGGAACTGAAACCGTCAGAAACTTGACCGTTGAAACATTCCCCTTTTTACACAACGTTATTTAGTGTTTTGACTCTTTGTGCATAGATCTCAATATAAAACAGAAGATATAGTTTGCCTCCCCTTTGTGATTTCTTGTACAGATGGGTAAATCGATCAGAGGAATTTTTGCTATTTTGAATCATCGATGTTCATAACGTGTGCTAAAGGAAGTGGCCAAACACTCTTGTGTCAATCCGAGCGTAAATTCAGATTTATGTGCAGAAACACACATATTAGACTGAGAAGGAGAATTATGTTTACACATACATTCACGACTGTTTGATAGCTGTGAGGAAAACCGTTGCCAGATATTGAAAGCCTTCACTATACTTGTATCTGTTATATAATGTGGCACTAATAGCTTTTTCCTGAATCCATTGACCGAATGATTGATGTTCTTGCAGCTGCCATAACGAATCGTTGAATGTACCGAACGGATCTCACCTGACCAGGTGAAATGGCAATTCCAGATTCAGTCATTATGACAGCTGTAAGATTATTCCTGGCTTCTGTGTCACAGGGAACCGGTTCCCGGGTTGAGACTGTTCCTTCTAACAAGGCTCCATGTAACATAACACTGATATGTTCGAATCGCAAAACCATTTCTGTCCTTCAAAGAACAGTGTATATGTGAACAGTTCCATTTCTCTCATCTACACGATTTCAAAACTCCTCAATGAAGATCCTAAATATAATTCAGAAAATACTTCCTTATACTGAAGCACAATATGTGAGAGAGTTGAGGTTTTCATTCTCAAAATTACAACATCATCCTGTTAGAAACACGGCTTATATCTACCCAAAATATTCATTTGCCCAGCCATATATCTGTTTGACGATAAGAGGGGGCATTGTTTGGATAACTACACTTTCCCTGTGAAGCCAGGCATTCTATTAGTAAGGCCCTCACAGTTTATGAATAATATAAATATTGAAAACCTCTTTAATTCGAGGCAATACAAAAACAAACAAAACATCAATATTCTTTACTTTAACCGTCTGATATAATGAAATATAACATGTCACCATTGCCATCAACGATTCTGTCAGTGAAAACTATTATTCAGAGTGTCGTCGCATCGTGAGGATGTTTGACAATGACGTTGGAACGTATATGTCTTTTTTCACTTGCATGACAAATTACTTTGGTCATACAAGATGACAACGGTAGAGTATTAAAGATTGGCTCTGTTTATTGAAGGCGTTGATAAAATTCCATGTTGAGGTAAAGTCGATTAAATGTTGAGGATTTGTAGCCTGAAGATTGGGTGGCAAATGAGAGAGTTCTGTCTTATCCTCCAGGATTTAGTCCACTTTTCTTACACTTTCTGCCACTCCATTGCCCTCAGACAACTAGATAAACGAGCTACTCACTCCATGCTATTGGTCTGTTGTCGGTTGACAATCGTCAAAATATGACCATCCACCTGCTGCATGTCACACATTTGTTCAAAGTGAAATGTTCAAATCAAAAGTTGCAATGTTCAATAATGTCCTGTCATCATTATTGACCAAAGGAGGATTACTGAAGCACATTGATTTGCAATGACAATGGCTAACCAATCGTCCACCAAAAGCTGCTCCTTCTTTAGATCCGACGTCTGACTGAAGGGTTGAATGGTGGAGTGGATGCCATAATCAGTGGTGGGGATAATTGCTGCTGAATCTTTGAGTTTTTGGATGTCGTCTGGGGACTCAAAGTGTCATTTGTGTCTCCATTTGTTTCAACTCTGAAGTTCCAAAGTTGAAAAGGATATTGTTTAGAAATGAAAACATCACACGTGCCTGTTCTACAAATTAACCTCAGCTATGAATTATGGTAGATTGTCAAAAGAATATTCCGACAGTTCTCATTCGTCATTTAAAACATGCCGGGGTTATTGTGGGGGTTTCGTTTAGAAAAACAGTAAGGCACCAAAGATAGAAATGATATCATTCACCATGAAACCCAAACTATGAGGATTTCAATGAAGCTTAAATATTATGTGAAACAATATATATTATTGTGTGTGATCACTAACTGCTCTCGTGATCTTTGATTTTCAGTTCGTCCCTCAAAGGGTTTTTCTACCTTATTATATACCCATGTAAACTTCGGATAGTTATACAGGGGTGCAATACGGATGATGTGGTTAAATTCCGTATTGTAACCCAGATTCCGTATTGAACCCCTGCCGGTTCTACTTTCTCCGAGCTCGGATCGATTTTAAAAGTCGAATAGCTTGTTCGTTCCTTCATACAAGTTTGTATGTATGAAAATATGAATCAGTTTCGTTAGAATGGTGCCAATGGTGCCTATGGTAAGTTGTGAAAGTGGGACTTGATTCATGACGTCATGCGGAGGCTTGTATGATCTAGGTCAGTCGGGTGATCCGCCCACGCGCGGAGTGATACTTAATGTCAAACTAACCTGAATGCCGAAGTATCGAAAGGCGTGAAAATAAGTATCGCTACGATATAATTTGTTTTATTTAGTAACAGATTAATGCAAGATAAGAGTGTATATAATACATATATAGAACGTTATACTAGTGCATTTGGATGTTTTGTATTGAACGAGAAGATGTCATGGGAGCAGAGAAACAACGAGCTCTTCGAGATACTCTGCTCCCATGACATCTTCTCGTTCAATACAAAACATCCAAATGCACTCAGTGTTGCATATGTGTCCTGCGGCTCTCTAATACTCGTGTTACCGCGTGATAAAACGAAAATTTGTTGAAAAATTACCATTCCCTGTCAAAAGTTTTTAATAAAATAACTTTGCACTTTCACTCAATCTGACGTGTTTTGTGTTTATGGGTCACTATCAGAACGGGAGTATGGCATCAATGGTGCATATCACACTTGCATAGTCAATATATTCAAAGTCAACTGGCACCCGTACTTAACTGGGGCTTGAATCATCTAGCCGTGAATAGATACTTTATGAGCAAGAGTTGTATGGCACTCTTTGAAATTGGCAAAACAACAGCATGCCAGGATCGTACACCGACGACTGGAGGTACCGCTCAAAATATACGGGTGGACGAATGAAAGTCATCTCCGACTTGATATACAGTGTTTGAAGATATTTTGTCTTTTTCATCTTTATGCAAAGGTCTTATTATAAAACTGATGAGGCTCTGATCACTTATATTTCTTGGTCAGATGGGTACATTTGTGGAAGGGAATTGGCATTTGACCGTTATTGAACGATTTAAGATCGGTGATATTCCTGTTTGGATCGTGGAAGACATGCTATCTGACCAAATGACAAAAATTCGTTGTTAACGTCCTTCCATAACATCTTCAAATATTGACAGTGATACCCAAAAGGTTTCACTTAGGAATGCATTTTTACAATCGTTTTATTGGTTATTTTTTTTTACTTTGGACATAATCATTTTAGTTTATATAATTACATTCATGCTATTGTTTACTTACTCCTTTGCTAAAACATTGAGGCTATCACAGTTAGGGATTTTCTTCAAACGATTCTGCCAAAGCGCAGTTGATTGAATGAAGTCACACAGTTGATCAACTGTCCAGTCCATCTTCAAGTCCACTGAATGTCTGGAATGGCAATATTCCATGAACAATATAAAGAATGGTTAATTTACATGTCTCAAGGTTATTTCCACGATGGATTAAAATATCCATAACCTTAACGTGATTGTTATAATACATCAGCAATTACCCATGTCCGTCTTACCTCTTATAAAGGACTAGGATGTTCACGTAACTAGGCCATTTCAAGTGACCAAATTCACTTATTACCCATGACACCATTTCTTTTATAACATCCATAAACTGATTTTGGTACACTTTTCGGATTTGACTTTGTACATACGAATTAAGGACTTACTTCTGTGTGTCCTGGAACGGAAGTTCCACGTCTTTGTAGCCATCCGTGCACATCCGAGTACCGTCATTGTGAAAGTCACACAGTTTCGACCTGATGAACTAAATGAAAAATGAGTCAATACATTTCTTGTAATCATGGGGAAAATGAAAGTTGTCAAATATAACATTTTAATATTACGTTTCACGACATTCCGTTGGAGTACTCAAGTCACCGAGCCTTTGTCAGTGAGTTGATTTTACGCTTTTATAAACAATATGTCTTGGTCACCTAACCAAACATCAACACAAGATCAACATTTGTTGCCAGAATGCTCTGGGTTCATAATAAACCATCTGGGTTCATAATATACCCGTCTCCGGCAGACACACATGGCGCATGACGGAATCTAAACGTTGTGTAGTTTGTATTTATCCTCAGACGTTTGAAGAGCTGAGCTACGTTTTGTAATACAAATGGGAAGGTGTGGAGACACCAGGAATTGACTGAACACTGAACATTTCCAATTTGTCAAATGGAAATCAAATTGATTTTCCCTCATTTAAACTTCAAACGCTCTTTGAACATCACATCAGCAGTCATATAATCATAAATGACCCTCATCCAATTCACATTAATGGCCACTACTTGCTTTCTATCGTTTTTTCGTTTCGTATTTTAGATTTGTTATTAGGACATCGTTATAAGTTTCACAGATGCGTTCTCCACCTGGCTACTTGTTTAACATTTGAACAATATCATCTTCGTCTACTGAACGTGGTAGTGACATATACCTCTTTGCTGAATACAACGAGCATGTGCATGGTGCTCAGCAACAAGGTTATTTTAATATGAACGAATCAGGGAAATGAACGCATTCCACAATGTCACAGAACGCCCGAAAGACCCAAGTCATGACAGTTCATTTTTGACCTTCAGATGCATGGATAGACCACGGCCACAAGATATAAAGAAGAAGATTATTTAAAACTTGTCAGTGACATCTGTTCAACCACATGTCGTTTGATAGTTGATCGTGAGTATGCCGAATACTTACCCTTCGTAGTATATCCTGTGCAGCAGATTGCTGAAGTGATACCCAACCATAACAGTAGACAGCCAAACATCCACCCGGCGAAAGTACCCGTTCTATTTCTGAGAAGAACTCCGGAATATTAAACCAGTGCAGGCCACACGCAGCAGTAACCAAATCTACCGAATTTGGATCAAGGAACGACAAATGTTCCGCCGTCGACTGTCTAAATTCCAAATTTGCCACATTTTTAGGTGCTTGTTTCAACTGTTCCTCACTGACATCAACTCCAATAACTTTCTCAAAACGGCCCACCAAAGGGAGAGTACTCTGATGTCCAGTTCCGCACGCCACATCTACTGCCAGCTTGAATTTTCCTCCTCTTGTTTGACAGTATTTGAAGATGTGATCGAACACCTTGTCAGAGTAGCGAGGTCGAGCTGCAGCATAGATCATTGCGTGTTTCGCGCCCTCGAAAAATCGCCGACTCATTTTAAAACAGATTTTCACAGACACAACGCAGGTGATTTCACAACATATAACTGATTCTCTCAGGAGATTATGCAGGTTCTCTATTGTAACACATACTGACGCAATTCTACATTGTGGATTGTGATAAAGGCACAGGTCAAGAATTTGGGTCACAGGGACCGTGTGGTTGCGTTTAGGCGATAGAGACCGTTACAGCTTATGAACGCTTTAGTGCGAGAACAACAGTGTCGTGCTGCGAAGGCTAAGATATATATCGGATATCAGGGGAGAGCTAGTTTTTCAGGGAATAGGCGTGTATCGTCAATGGTAAAGATACTGTGAATAATTAACGGAAAAATAATCGATGAACTACATCATCGGGGACATCGCCCACACAGACCACGTGTCCGAACTACTTTCCTAAACATCAAGTACATTGACAATAGTCTGTTATTGTGATGAAAACCTAGAACGGGTTTATAAAGTGTTAATATGGGAATGGTAGTTTAATGTTGAATTAATGAAAATGTATATGAAGAATAGACCTGAGTGAGTGAGTTAAGATTTTAAGTCACATCGGCAATATTTCAGCCATATCGTGACTACAAACAAGTTATAATTTTACAATAAATAAAGGTAAATTATAAAAACCTGTCAGCAAAGGACAGTAAAACAACTAGTATATCACACATTTCAATCTAAAACTAGTAATTAACACTAAAATACTTGAACTATAGAGGACAACACAATATAAAAACAGGCTATATATTGCCAACGAGTGAAGTTAGATCACCATGCTAGGGACCATGGGGACTTACAGTACTCTTGCTACCTGCACGGACCCTAGCTGGATTTACACCATCCCTTCAGCCGTTAGTAATTTAAATAAATCTAGCCATAGATTAAAATAACACATATAATACGATTAAATATAGTAGTAGGTTTAAATTTACTGTGAATGCATTGGGACTTACGTACCCTCTCAGGAGGACAATAATTTTACAATACTTCAACCCCCTTTGAGGGTACAGCCACTAACAATCAAAGTTACTAATCTAAACTACCAAACATTAAAATACATCTATCTACAGAACATGTTAGTCAGAATTCATCAATGAAATCAATTTCTTTTAAAAAACCAATAATTAAATGATAAGGATCTTTTTACTACAGTTAATTAACTGTTTTCACACTGAAATATTTATCCCTTATGACGGAGAATTCAACAGTCAAGCAGGGTATGCTTGACCGTAACTGTCTCATCACAGGGGATACAAAACGGAGGATCTTCACCTTTTAGCACGTATTTGTGAGTATAACGCGTATGGCCAATGCGACATCGTCGCATGATGATCTCTTCAAATATGGACTGACAACCCAAGTAGGTGTAACCGATAGTTGGTTTAATTGCATGTAACTTATTTTTACCTACTTGGGTGTCCCACTTCTTCTGCATCAGATCACGGATGTACGATCTAATGGTAGCTTTGTAATCGCAGTATGGGATAAGAAGTGGTGTCACAGATTTGTTGAGTGCTGCCTTAGCAGCAAGATCGGCCATTGTGTTACCAGAAATGCCAACGTGGCTTGGTAACCAACAAAAAACGATGTCGCATTGGCCAGTAGCAAGTTCATTATATAATTCAATAATTTCTATTAATAGTGGATGTTTACACGATAAGTTTTTAATAGCCTGAAGACACGAAAAAGGGTCTGAAGAGATGATATATTCTGTATATTTAGGGTGTTTATTAATATATTTTAAGGCTGTTAATATGGCGTTAGCTTCTGCAGTGAAAATAGAGCTGTTACCCGGCAATCGGGAAGATACTGTTCTGGATCCAATGACAGTGACACAAGCTACTGCGCACCCATCCTTGGACCCATCTGTAAATATAGATCTATATGCATTATATTTATTTCTTAATTGACTAAATTCTTGTTTATATTGTAATTCGTTAGTTTCTGATTTTTTAAAAGTTGTCAGTGTTAGGTCAACCTGTGGTCTCACTAATTGCCAAGGAGGAGAAGAAAGAAGACGGGAAGGACATATGTTCTCTAGTTCAATGCCAGCAGCAGAAAGGAAAGGTTTCACTCTTATGCCAAGGGGTGGAACAAGAGAAGACTTCTTGTTATACAGATCCTCATAGAGGGGATTAAAGATACAGTTATGTGCAGGGTTAGACTTGTTGGAATATAGTTTTTTGTTTTGACTGTAAAGTTAATTTTATACGGCGTTGATTAAGAGATGGCTCATCAGCCTCGGCATAGAGACTGTCAACAGGAGAAGTTCTGAAGGACCCAAGACAAAGTCTTAGACCTTGGAGGTGGACAGAATCTAATAATTTTAAGTTACTTGTGCAGGCTCCACAATATACGATGGAGCCATAATCAATCTTCGAACGGACCAGTGATCTATATAGACTAGACGTAGGAGAGTAGCTTGATCCCCTCCCCACTTTGAATTAGAGACGACTTTCAATAAATCTAGTGCCTTAAGGCATTTATTTTTAAGGGATTTGATATGTGGAAGAAAAGTTAATGGGAGTCAAAAATTAGACCCAAGAACTTAGCCTCCTTGACAACTTTGATGGGAGTGCCATTTAAAAACAGTTCTGGGTCTTTATGAGGTTTATATTTTCTACAGAAGTGTATACAATTAGTTTTTGACTCAAAGAATTTAAAGCCGTTTTTAAGACACCATTTATTTATTTTATTTTAACACAACTGCAGTTGCCGTTCAATAGTATGCATATTTTTACCGCGACAAGAAATATTAAAATCATCCACAAAAAGTGATCCATCGATTGAATAATATAAAACCTTTGATAAACTGTTAATCTTATTCCTAAGTAATGTAACGGACAAAATACTACCTTGTGGGACACCCTGATCCTGAGTGTAATGACCAGACAGGGTTGAACCCACTCGGACTTGAAATTGTCTGTCATTTAACACATTGGATATATATTGAGGCAAACGGCCTCGTAATCCAAAGTCATGTAAATCTTTTAAAACCCCATGCTTCCACGTAATGTCATATGCTTTCTCTAGATCCAAAAAGATAGACACTGTATGTTGTTTATTAATTATAGCGTTTTTGGCAAATGATTCTAAACGCACTAAGTGAAATGGTACTTCTGTTTTTTCGGAAACCACATTGAATATCTGTTATGAGGTTATTGGTTTCAAAGTACCAAACTAGTCTATTATTTATCATGCGTTCCATGTATTTGCAAACGCAGCTTGTGAGTGAAATTGGTCGATAATTTGAAGGATCACGTCCAGGCTTAGGTATTGGGACTACTATAGCATCTCGCCATTATGACGGAAATGTCTCCGACGTCCAAATGTCATAAAAATATTTAAAAGGGTCTCTAAACAGGATTCTGGTAAGTGCTTCAGGAGCTGATAATCTATATCATCAGCTCCTGTAGCAGTATCATGAGCTTGTTCAAGAGCAGTATGGAGTTCATGAATAGAGAATATTTCATTATAATCTTCCCCTTTAACTGGAGTGAAATTAATAGTTTTACTTTCTTGCTGCTTTTTATATGTTTGAAAATCAGGTACATAATTTGAAGAGGAAGAGTGTTTGGCCAGAGTTTCACCAAGTTTACAATACCTGATTTATTAGTCAATAGTTGGTCCCCATCTTGCAGGTGGTGAATGCTAGATTTAGAGCCCTTACCCTTGCTTTTCTGGATCATGTTCCATACCTTTGATATCGGCGTACGTGCATTTATCTTTGATACATACATAGAATAGACATGAAAATGTGTTAATAACTTTACTTATATTTTTTGGGTTCCCAAATTGAAGAGTGTTCACGTTAATCCTGTTTTCCTTGTTATTTGTGTGAGTTAGGTGCTATGTTCATTCACCCACAACATTGCATTGCAAGTACCGCCAATGTTACGCTTGTTCAACCGAGAAACGTCTCGAATTTAGCTTTTGCGGCCATGAACCAGGACAACAAACATCACATGTCAATTATTGACCAAATGACATTTTCAATGAATAATCAGAATATAATAATAATTTGACACAAAAGGTAATGGATAGAAATATATACTGAAGATAATAGTCTGTGACCCTTGCAACAGGGATGATTTATTGTATCAAATTTACTGCGATGTCTTCGATGATGGTGTGATAAGATTTACCCTTAGTAAAATACAATGTCTATCAGCACCGCTGCTTTGGCCATCCATATGAAACCATCAGAACGCGCTTTCAAACGAAAAATATGTGTGCCCACAAACCTATGCTTGATGCAAGGGGATTCTATATTGTCAGATTCGTTTTCATGGCAGAATATATGCCCCCGTATCCCAGATGTGCAGATGTCAACACATGGACTGCGGATTATTTACAGAGTGGGGTCACATGGCCGGAACATCGCCGAGTGCCGTGATATACAACACACAGTGATTGTGGAATATACAAAAACGCAGACATTGCCTAGTGTTATTTGGCAGTAACCGTTGGTGGGTGTATTTCTGATGACTGACAGTAGCTCGCCCACCTCACATTGTAAACAGAGTTACCTCCTATTTTGTTTTCCGACTTCTCTCCGACCCTAATATAATGATGGTTTGTTGTTTGACACTGCAATCGGCAATGTTATAGTTACACGTATATATGACGGAGGTCTGTAAATAATCCAGTCTGGAACAGACAATCCTGTGACAAAAAGTATGAACATCGATCTACATTTAACGACTTCATTTGTGACTGTAGAATTCAAACGTATGATGCTGGTGTAGCACCAAGGACGATGTTGCATGAACGGGCCACGTGGTGAGTTACGTACATTGTACGTCGTCGTACTAAAGGTAACAGCATATGATGAGCCTCTGATATTGACGATGTATCAGCCAACAGTAAAGCATTAACATTATAATGCATCTCCCTGTCAACACTAATATACTCAACCAAAATTAGAAACTTGACACTGGTAAAACTCGACCCTACAAACACGACTTTTTAAAATGGATGATTTTACCCTTAATTGCGCTTAAGACAGTATCTACTGTCCCCTCTCCGACGCCATACTCTCTCTCTTCCGTCGGCAAAACACAATGTGAAACGTGATTCATCACTAAAAATTACTCTGTTCCGTTGTTCCAGAAAAAGACACACCCACTATTGTTCTCTAGAGCATATTTTGTCGATGAAGAGGGTAAATGTATAGTGACTGTCAGGAAAGGAAATCACACTGGTAACAAAGGCAATCAAAGTAATGTCAGTATCTTGTGTGGCCGCCGTCAGACGCTGGCCCCCGTGCATAACGTCTCCTCATTGACCTCAAGACTTGAACAAAGAATCGTAACAAAAGTCGACGCCATTGCTTCACCAAATCACGTCCCAGATCCTGCAACGTCTGTGGTTCAATCTGTTGCATGCGTAATCGCCTGCCCAGTTCACCCCAGATGTGTTCGATTGTGTTGAGGTCAGATGAGCGAGTTGGCCACTCCATGACGTCAACACCAGCATTTTGCAGGAGGTTTCTGGTTAAAACCGCAGCGTGAGGTGTAGCGTTATCATGCTGAAACGTAAGACCTGGGCCATGCTGCCTGCAGAAAGGAAGAAGAATGGGAATGAGAATCTGATCTCTGTATTCCTTGGCAATTAGGTTGCCTTGAACAATCATGAGTTGAGTACGTCCATTTGCCATGAAGGCACCAGACACCATGATGTTTCCACCCCTGAACCTGTCAACTTCCCTGACGCAGCACTGAGCATGTCGTTCCCTCTCCGACGCCATACTCTCACTCTTCCGTCGGCAAAACGCAATGTGAAACGTGATTCACCACTAAAGATTACTCTGTTCCATTGTCTTTGGGTAAATCTCAGGTGACGTCGCGCCGAGAGATAACGTTGAAGTCGATGAACAGGAGTCAAAATGGGTCCGGTGTATGGTCTCCGGGCTCTTATGGTCGTAAACGATTGCGCATTCTCGTTGTCACTCTACCATTGAACATCTCTCTCTACTAGTTGAAGTAGCGGTCACAAATCGATTACGAAGATGACGCAGTCGTATTGCAACGTCATCTCGTTGTGACGTCACACGGGGCGCCCCTGGCCGTGGGCGATCAGCTGTTAATACTGTTGAAGCAGGCGTGTCTTGAGGTTATGAATTGTCTGTCGACTGCGTCCAAATGCGCGTGCAACATACGTGACAGTCTGCGCATCGTTCCAATGGCGCGCCCCCGATCCTGATTTGACAGTCTTGGCATTTCAACAATTTTTAAATTATTCCAATTTTAAAGTGTTTTCCTGTATGAAACGATCACCATGAGCCGTATGGAGAAACAATTTCCTGATTGATTGCAAATTTGTCGGGGTAACACCAAGTTTTGTGATTTTCCATGTGTTTTGTTTCAATTTGCACGTGCAATAAAGGCATTTGGTGAAAAAGTTTGGCTGTGTTGCGGCGAATGTGTATTCATAAGGTTCACTGATTGTACAATATTTCGAAATTTGCGTTCGATTTTTTTCCACCTCAGAAACTACATGTGTCAAGCTTCTATTTCTGTTCAGTGTACTTTACATGTATCGGCGTCCCTGTAAGTCACCTTTGAAAGAGGTAAACGAATATACTTGTCTGTAAAACTTGACGAAGTTAAGCAACACGAATTACAATCGGAAGCTTGGTCAAGAACAAAGCGTATCTGATGGAGTCAGACAGTTTGGTTTACTGCCGCTTTGAGTGAGTGAGTGAGTTTAGTTATCCCGATCCCGTTAGTCGCCTCTTACGACAAGCATGGGTTACTGAAGGCTCATTCCAACCCGGACCTTCACGGGTCCTGTGGCTTTGAAAGAATATCAGTTGTCACGGCGTGTCAGCTTTTGATGCAGGTGTTGAGACATTTGTCAGCATTGGTATACATTGAGTGAGTGAGTTAATATTTAACGTCACATCGGCAATATTTCAGCCATATCGTGACGAGAACATATTTGATATTGAAATGGAATATATGTATATTATAAAACCTGTCGACGGAGGACAGTAAAACAACAAGAATATCACAATCACTAAAACTAGTGTGGAAAGATAAAACTGATAGCACTATTTGGACAATACAACATAAAAACAGGCAATAGATCGCCAACAACTGAAGGTAGATCACCATACTAGTGAGTGAGTGAGTGAGTTAAGATTTAAAGTCACATCGGCAATATTTCAGCCATATCGTGACTAAAAGATCCCCATACTAGGGACATTGGGGACTTAAAGTACCTTTGCTACCTGCATGGGCCCTAGTTGGATTTACACCATCCCTTCAGCCGCTGGCGATTGTAGGAAATATGTAGCCAACTTTAAAAGAACAAAAATATACTTTTTTTTAAGTCTGGTAAGTTTAAATTTAGCTTTGAAAGTTTTGGGACTTACGTACCCTCTCAGGAGGACAAAAATTTTACAATACTGGTATACACTGAAATATAATTAGGACGAACCGGAACTGTACACCAGATCATAGGTCTGTGGCATTGGAAAGGACATGACCCTGTACGGTGGGTGAGTTAACGTTTAGAGTCACGTCGGAAGTATTTCAGCCATACCGTTTCTAGAAATGTTTTGCATACATAATGAATAGATGTTATAATCCAGTCATCAAATGACTGTAAAATAACTAGACTATCACGGAAACGTAGCCCGTGAATTTAAAAATGGTTTACTTTTGAAGACAATACAATAAAAACAGGCTATATATATCGCCAACAACTGAAAGTAGATCACCAGACAAGGGACCATCGGGCCTTTTAATGCTTTTGCTACTTGTGTGGACCCTAGCTGGAATTACCTTTCAGATCTTGGCGATTGACACATTTTGTCAAAACGAACAAACATTCTATGAATAAAAATGTGGTAGAAATAAATACTCTTTGTATCCTCTCAAGAGGACGATACTGTACGGGCGGATTAGAGCTTCTTACACCACTTGGTGCCTCCAGATAAATCGGGCAAAGAAAGACGGCGTTGCCTGGTCCGACCTTTTCTAAAGGCTGTGCACTAGCAAAGACAAACACTAATGACATTGAAAAGAATCAAATAAAATAAACGTCGTGAAATTAGACGCACAAACAAAAGTGAAGTACATTGTGAAGGTCTTTCACATTGCACCACGATAACCAACGAAAGGAAATATAACCCTTGAACGACCGCCCTATTGAGAACAGATATGATGTGACACCTACCTCACGGACGTAATGGAAGATGCAGCTGATGTACAAACGACACATGTAGCTGCTACAATATTGTATCAACTGGTATATACAAATAATTAGTTTATATATACGCACACACGCTTACTGCGTGACAAACTATAAAATATAAATAGCAGTTCGTGTGTTAACATATTAATAATTTAGCGAGATTGGGGTTTTTCATAGACAGGAATCAGGTTTCCTCAGGGACAATTACAGACTGATGTGAGAAATATTCTCATTTATATGGGGAGTATCGGCACTTGTGTTTGTCTAATCTTGATTTTGAATGCCTCTTAGCTGTATGTAGCATGCGTTGCTCATCCCTGTGTTATGTGTATATTGTCATGTTTTCGTTTGTTTGGCATCTCCAAACAGTGGGTAATTAGGGGATAACTGTACTGTGTTTGACGAAATATGTACGTCCCCAATTCGTCAAAACAGTACAGTTATCCCCATTCTAATTCAACTGGTTTTACGCTGTTTTTTTCGTGAACGAAATTCATTATTTAAACCAGGTCAAAGTTTATCTAGGTCAAAGGTGAATCATATCACTCCTTGAACTTACACCATCGCCAGAAAAAGTAGCTCCTTTTCAAACTTCAACATGTTTATTATGTGCACACTGACTAAATCTGACAATGATGAATAAATAAAAGTGTTTTACCTAAATTGGACGGAATTATCATGAAACCACCCCCAAGTTTATTAGAAATGAGCGGGCCGCTGCAAATGATAATGGCATTTAGAAGTTGTACATTGATGTCCAAGATATTTTTATGGATTAAACTTCTTTTTAATTTCCCTCACGACGTTTCGAGACCATTCCAGGTCCCTTCATTAGGTGAACTGACAGTTAGGACTATGACGTTGTCACTATGACGTCATAACTGAGTTATGACGTCCCAATGCAAGTGACATCACAATACACGAGGGAGAGTACAGTATAGGTGAGGTTGAAGTGTTAATTACATAATGATGAAAATTCATGCTGGATAATAGAGTTGAAAGTTGAATTGTCAATACACAACGACTGCTAATTACACAAAATTTACTTGATAGCAGGCTTTCCAAAAAGTAAATAGTAGGCTTTTTTTTATTTATCTAAAGTTCATCAAAAGTTAATCAAGAGGTCCCACGCACTTGGCAGGTAGACACCTTGATCACGATTCATTGCCGGTATATGTCTCCTTATCTCCACAGCCTCCTGTAGTTTCCTCCGATGCCAGTCGTTGTTATCATTCCACATGATGCTCCGATATAGCTGACTTATCATTTTGTTTGCATATTGACGACTTGTGTTCAGCAACCCGGGTGTTGATGGGCCTGAGAGTCTCGCCAATATATTGATCGCCACAGCTGCATGGTATTTGGTATACACATCCTCTAGGGTTGGGGCTTCCATTACTAGATCCTCTTCCATTTGCCCGGAGGAGTGTCTTAATTGTTGTACCGCTCGAGAAAGTTACATCAAAGCTTGCATTGCTCTTGATTAGTCGGACTATCTGATGGCTGACTGGTCCCACGTAGGGTATTGTGATCCTGATTGGGGATGGTTCAGGCTTGAGGCGCGGTTCTGATGATTCAAGCGTTTTGGTGATAGTACTGGAGACAAGACGGGCTGGGTAGCCATTGAGGACAGTAAAGGTTCTCTTGAGGTAATCAATTTCACTGTTTAAATTATCTGGGTGACAGGTCGACTTGGCTCTTCTAGTGAGAGTAGCAATAATTGCTTGTTTGATCTGTGGGTGGCGACAGGAGTTGTAGTTGATATACTGACCCGTGTGAGATGGCTTCCTGTACACAGAGGTGACGAGAACTTTGTCAGTAGATTCGAGGGTAACATCTAGGAAAGGAAGTTGCCGGTTCTGCTCAGTCTCCATTGTGAACTTTATCCTCGGTGCTGCAGTAGCTGTGCTGGGTCATCTTGCTTGTCTATTGTTGGGAACGTATCATCTACTTTGCGATACCAGCACAAAGGTTGAAAGGGTGCTGTGGAGAGAGCAGATTGTTCAAAGGAGGTCATATATAGAGGTGACAATGGTGAGCCCATAGGTAGACCATGTATCTGTCTGTATATCTTGTCATTAAATGTGCAATAAGAGAATTCAAAACAGGTGGTAGTGAGGTTAATGATGCTAACTATCGTATCAAATTCTTTGATTCCAGTCTGGAGCTTGTTCCGGAGAATTTCCAGGTCTTCTTGCAAAGGGATGTTAGTGAAGAGGTCAACTACATCATAGCTGACCATGGTACCGGAAAGTTGATCTTCTTTCAACTTGCTTATAAAGGCCGATGAATCGCTGATGAATGCCTTCCCTGCTTTACCTAAGGGTGCCAGGATGCGTGAGAGGTGCTGCGCAGTACTGTAAAAGACGGATCCTCGTGAACAGACTAGTATCCTGGCTTTAAAGACTAAAGCAGATTGTTCAAAGACTGTAGTGAATTTGTACAAAGGAGACTAAAGTCTCCTGTAAAGGCTGTAGTCTAAATGGACTGTAAAAGACTGTAGTGAATTTAAGCAGTAAGAATCTGACAGATGCCCAGACTTTGCTCCTTGCTAAAGGATTAAAGTATGTACCTGTGAGCGCCAAGATAAACACTGATGCCTTCATCACAAGCATAGAGAGTGGTCTCCAACAACTTGCACCGAATGGCAACGTGGACAACCACCAGATTATAGACACCATCAAGAAAGCGCCCAGGCCACGCAGCAACCTCTCTGTGCAAGAAAGACAAGCAATTGCTGAACTCGGACAAAATAAAGCAATCACCATCACTGAAGCCGATAAAGGTAAAGCAGCTGTTATCATGGATACACAAGACTTCGAACAGCTCATAAACAACAGCCTTTCTGATACCCCAACCTATCTCATCATCACAAAAGACCCCACTGCAAAACTTGAGCGTGAGCATAAAAGACCCTTAAAGACCTTCACGAAAACAGAAAGATTTTACCAAAATTGGACGAAGAAATTATCTTTTTGTGTCCAGTTCTTAACTCTTTGACTGTTTACAGGGTAGTTGTTCAAAACTGGTTTTGTCCATATCAGATATTTCTGATGTTTTCTGAGAATTCAAGTATTGGTCAGCTGAAGTTAATTCAATATAATCATGGCCATGATCATGACCAACAGCAAACGTAGTTCCTTCAGGAAACATTTGATCAACTGTTAATGCATTATTAAGGGTGGTTTAACCACACAAAACGGAAATAATCAGGATAATTTGTCACTTTGCGATATTTTACTGGTTGTGGTCAAATATACTGAGTCAAAAAAAAACTTCACATTCTTTCTTCAGGGCACTATAAAAGAACAAGAGATGGTAAGATGGTTAAATTGGTATTATTTCATTGCTGAGATCTGTGTGATGTACTCGATACACTGACAGTGCCATAATCGGTTCCATTAGGCTACACCGCCGTTCCAAAACATGGGTATACAGAATGTCAAGTCACAAGAATAAAAATGCGAAATTTCTCAGTTCAATATCGTGTATGGCCGCCCCGCGCATTCACCACTGCCAAACACCGTCTCCTCATCGACTGCCTGATGCTTGTGAACACGTGGTTGGGGATTCTGCGCCATTGCTCTTGCAAGGCAGCGCCACGTTCCTGCAAATGCTGAGGTTGGTTCCTAAGACCGAGAAGCCTTCTCCCAAGTGCATCCCAAACGTGCTCTATTGGATTAAGGTCAGGGGACCTCGATGGCCAGTCCATGACGGTGATCCCAGCGTTTTGAAGGAAATTTCGTGTCAACATGCGGCCGAGCATTATCATGCTGGAACTGTAGACCTGGGCCATGAGCCGCCATGCAAGGAACAAGTTCAGGGGGTAAGCACCTGGTCGCGGTAAGCAGCAGCTGTGAGGTTTCAACGGATGACCAGAAGTCGGGAACGGTTGTTCCCACAGAAAGCACCCCACACCATGCAACTTCCGCCCCCGAATCTGTCGACTTCCTGTACACAACATTGGGCATACCGTTCACGACGTCGTCTCCAGACTCTATGCCTGCCGTCCGCGAATCTGAGGGTAAACCTGGATTCATCGCTAAAGACGACTCGATTCCAGTCTCTCTGGGTCCATCGGAGGTGACGTTGGGCCCACAGCAGACGTTGACGTTGATGAAACGGCGTCAATATTTGCCCACGATATGGACGTCGAGAATGGAGATTGGCAGCCCGCAACCGATTTCGAATGGTCTGTGAGGACAGTCGACCTCTAAACATTTCAGCCCTGGTTCGTGTAGCCGGAAGAAATCTGTCACGTAGGTGACGTAGGACGATTTGACGGTCTTCTGCTCGTGACGTCACACGTGGACGACCCGACCTTGGGCGATCAGAAGTGGTGCCAGTTTGTTGTAGACGACCTCGCAAGTCATACACAGTACGACGGCTGCATCCCATTGCTCTTGCGACGTCAATAACTGATCTTCCCGCTTGCAACATGCCAACGGCACGTTCACGTTGCACATTTGACAATCGTGGCATTTCAAGTACCGTTAGAACTGTGCTTTAAAAGTGTTTTTTTTAATTCTTGAGGCCAATGCAAACACGTGCATATGAAGAAAACTTCGATGCGAAGATCACGTGATCGACTGCACGTGCAAAACCTGATTTGGCACTAACGTCATTTGCACGACGAATGGATGGGTTTGAGTGGGTTTTGCTAACGTTTTTCTAGAGTCGAAAGATAGGGATCCCATTTCGGATACATAGATGTATCATCAGAGAAAAATTATTCATTATTTTTAAAATTACATTTTGTGAAGTTTCTTTTTTGACTCAGTATATAACCCCAGTTCACTCTTGCATATTTATGTCAAGATCAGAGACCTTAGATGGGCTGTCTGTATTGGGTTTGCTTTTTGTGAAATGTATGCTATCTCTGTGTACATGTTTCACCAGTTAACACGTCAAAGCATTTCCCAAGCAAATAATACTGCATAAATGGGCTTGAAATGGCCCGATGGACGCTGGCCTGCAGCACACTCACATTCCCCTCCACAACAGAACCATCGTAGTCTATTGCTACATCAACGTTAACCTTGTACGTCACATGCTTCTTTCAGCATGGCACTCAAATGTGAGGGAAAAGAGATTACTGTGCTTCGAAAATCGGACATACTTCAAGAATCTACTGTTGTTGAGATTCTCTGCACTCATCCCAAGTTTCTTTTGAAATGGCAATCGTTGTATATAAACAGCGTAAACTCATTTAATGTTTTGATTGTATATTTTTGACAGCATCTCAAACTCCAGCAAAGACATTCCTTCGCTAACTCAGAATGGAACCCAGGAAATGGTCTCCAAAACGCAACCTGATCTCATAAGTTTACCTTGCTAATTGAACATTTAAATCTCAGAATTTTATTCAACTTCTGAGAAAAGTTGTTTAACAAACGATCATAGTTTTAGATCGCCATTATTGGTTTGTATTACAAGAGGGTACGCGCAGTAATTGGAACAGTGAAACAAATGCACGTGCGGTGCGTGGTGAGCGTTAACTTAGACTACCGTAGAAACCAACCCTTCTTGTTCTCGGGGTTTCGTTTAATACCCCCTTGTAATACAAAGATATGTTGACAGCAAAAACATTAACCATGATTTCACACCTCAGAAATTATCGAAGCCTTATATTAAAGCTTAACGGTCTATACAAAGGAACATATTATTTTTAGGCCATTTGAGTGAGTGAGTGAGTGAGTTATTATTTAACGTCACATCGGCAATATTTCAGCCATATCGTGACGAGAACATTTGACATTGTAATGGAATATGTATATATTATAAAACCTGTCATCGAAGGACAGTAAAACAACTAGAATATCACACTTGGATTTAAAACTAGTGTGTAAGGTTAAAACTAATAGCACTATTAGGACAATACAAGATAAAAACAGGCTATAGATCGCCAACAACTGAAGGTCGATCACCATACTAGGGACCATGGGGACTTACAGTACCTTGGCTACCTGCATGGACCCTAGTTGGTTTACACCATCCGTTCAGCTGCTGGCGATTGCAAGAAATGTTAGCTACAATTAAAATGACAAAATGCTACGTTTAAAAATCCTGGTAAGTTTAAATTGACTTTCGAAGTTTTTGGACTTACGTACCCCTCAGGGGACAATATTTTACGATTCTTCAACCCCTTGAGAGTACAGCCACTAACAATCTAAGTTACTAATCAAACTACCAATTATTAAAACACACCTAGTTACAGAACATATTAATCAAAATTCATTAATGAAATCAATTTCTTTTAAAAACCAAGAATTAAATGAAGATGAACAGAATTAAAAGATCCTTAACAGTTTTAACATTGAAATATTTATCCCTTATGATGGAGAATTCAACACAGTCAAGCAGGAGATGCTTGACCGTGACTCTCTCATCACAAGGGATACAAAACGGAGGATCTTCACCATTTAACAAATATTTGTGAGTGTACCTTGTATGGCCAATACGACATCGTCGCATGATGACCTCTTCAAATCTGGACTGACAACCCAAGTAAGTGTAACCGATATAGGGTTTTATTGCATGTAATTTATTAATACCTACTTGGGTGTCCCACTTCTTCTGCATCAGATCACGGATGTAGGTTCTAATGCAAGCTTTGTAATCAGAGTAAGGAAGAAGAAGTGGTGTCACAGATTTATTTAGTGCTACCTTGGCAGCAAGATCGGCCATTGTATTCCCAGAAATGCCAACGTGGCTGGGTAACCAACAGAAGACGATGTCGCATTGGCCTGTAGCAAGATCATTATATAATTCGATTATTTCAATTAAAAGTGGATGTTTGCAAGAGATTTTTAATAGCCTGAAGGCAAGAAAGAGAGTCTGAAAATATTATATACTGGTTATGTTTTGGATGTCTTTGAATATATTTAAGAGCTGTTAAGATGGCGTTTGCTTCTGCTGTAAATATAGAGCTGTTATCAGGTAGTCTAGAAGATATTGTTCTGGCTCCAATGACAGTGGCACATGCCACTGCGCCACCGTCCTTGGACCCATCTGTAAATAAGGATTTGTATGTGTTATATTTGATTTTTAATTGATTATATTCTTGTTTTATACTGTAATTCATTAGTTCCAGATTTCTTAAATTTTGTCAGAGTTAGGTCAACTTCAGGCCTAACCAATTGCCAAGGAGGAGAAGAAAGAAGACGGGAAGGAGCTATATTCTCCAGCTCAATGCCGGCAGCAGTAATGGCACCCATGAAAGGCCACCTCCTCGTGGTGGGTGCTGGGTCACGCTAAGCGCCTTTCAACCCCCCGTTGTGGACCCGGGGGGGATATTTTGGTCCACCAACCCGTTTGCCGTGGGTTGCGCCCCTGTGTCGGTGGAGGACGGGAGTCTGGTGGTTGAGGGCACTGGTTCCAGGAACAGTGTTCCTTTGCCCAACACACCACTTCGCCCCTTACTTCACCTAGACGGGTGGTTGAATGGGCCCGGTTCAACCAATCGGCTGGTCATGCCGAGCCCTGAGCACTAAATTTCATTGCTCTAACATTATTTGGCTTGGTTTTATTTGGACACAATATTGACATGTTTTGTTTTGTGTATCTTCTCTGTGATATATATGGATTTTCAAATTTCTGAAATTTTGCCTAGATGCTGGTGCCAGAAGGCGGTGGCTCATGGGCCAATCTGGTAGAATAATTGATTTTTCATTTGTTCTGCTTGAGTATGTCATCCGGGTATCCCTGGTGCTGCAAGTCGGAGACCCACTTGTAATTAGCACTGTCTTCATGATACTCCGTGGTGGGTGGGGAGCTCGGATGATGAAACAATTACTAACTCAACATGGCTTACCAAACTCCCTCGAAAAAGACCAAACGACAACTAGACAATGACAATGAAGAGAATGAATCCACACTTACGGAAAATTGGCCACGTTTCCTTGTTCTTGACACTGTTGACAAGACTCCACTCAAGTTGAACCCTTTTATAATTTCTAAGGGGATATATGGCATTGCAGGCGATGTTAAGAACATCAAACGCTTACGTTCAGGCT